TGATGATGATGATGAAGGATGGATGGATGATGGTGATGATGAAGATATAAGATGGACGGAGGATGAAGGATGGATGGATGATGGTAAAGAAGATGAAGGATGGATGGATTTTGATGATGATGGATGGATGATGGTGATTAAGGTGATGAAGATGAAAGATGGATGGATGATGAGAAAGATGAAGGAATGATGGATGGATGATGGTGAAGAAGATGAAGGATGGATGGATTTTGATGATGATGATGATGAAGGATGGATGGATGATGGTGATGATGAAGATGAAAGATAGACGGATGATGATATGATGAAGGAATGATGGATGGATGATGGTAAAGAAGATGAAGGATGGATGGATGATGGTGATGATGAAGATGAAAGATAGACGGATGATGATATGATGAAGGATGGATGGATTTTGATGATGATGGATGGATGATGGTGATTAAGGTGATGAAGATGAAAGATGGATGGATGATCTTCAGTCTCTGAAGGCTGACATTCAGGATGTGAATGATGAACATGTGAGGAGCCGACAGGAGCTGGAGCAAACACAGAATGAACTGACCAGAGAACTCAAATTCAAGTGAGTCTGAGCTCCAGCACTGAGCTCTAAGACACACATTAAAACAAAAACATGATTTGCTTTATCTATGCATCATTTTACCGTTGCTGATGGTTTAAGAACAATCACACAGCTAATGTGTCTGTGTCTCTGTAGATATCTGATTATAGAGAACTTTATACCTCCTGAAGAGAAGAATAAAATCATGAACAGACTTCAGTTTGACGCTGAGGAAGACCAGTGGAAGTTTCAGCCTCTCGTTCCTGCAGAGAAGTGAGTGAACGTCCATCTATACATGTGATGCATCAGATGCTAATATCACAGCACTTAGAGTTACACTGACAGACGAAACATATCAAACTCATTCTTTATTTTTTACTGTTTTCCACATTTTAGAATAACAGTAAAGTCATCAAAACAGCACAAATAGCCCAAATGAAAAAATATTTTCAGTTTTGTAACAAAATTTATACATAGGCACAATTTTTTAGAACCTTTAGAACAAAAGCTCTTCTATTCATTGAAAACATATATACCAACCATAAAACCTTAAAAAACTGTTTCATTACTTAATGTTAACTGAAATAAAATATAAAAAACTTAAACTTATTTTATTTCAGCTCATTTTCAAGGCAACATTTCTAATTTACATTTAGTCTGTTTAAGTACTAAAATAATTAAACTAAAATTTTATAGAAAAAAACTATACAGACATATTAAAAAAATAATAAAAATGGCATACAACAAAATTACTAAAACTTTAACTAAAATTAAAATATAAAAATAGTATCTAATTAAAAATAGTAACAAAAACTATAATACTATTTCAATGATACTAAAATAACTCTGATCTGACATTGTGATTGAGTGTTTTTCTGAGCAGAACAGCACACACACTGAGAGTGAAGTTGATCTTCTTGTCTGTTTTCTGTGTTCACTCAGTAAATTCACACAAATGAAGAGAAGACCCGCCTCCGCTGTGGGATACAAGCGACCAATCAGCCAGTACGCCAGGGTTGCCATAGCGATAGGAGCTCATTCCAGATACAGGGTATGTTTATGGAGAGAGAGAGATGGAAGAGTAGGAAGAAAAAGTGGAACATGGCCAGAGGATGTCAAATCAAATGGTTGAAATAGTTCAAGTGCAGGAGCTGCATGATTATGTGCACTGCAAAAATATTTTGAGGATGTTATTTATAAACTTAAAGGGGTCATATGATGCTTTTTTAAAGATCATTATTTTGTGTATTTGGTGTAACAGAATATGTTGACATACTTTAATGTTCAAAAAACACATTATTTTTCAAATACTGTACATTATTGTAGGTCCTCTATGCCCCGCCTCTCTCAAACGCTTCGTTTTCTACAAAGCCCCCTCCTTTGACAAGCGCAGTCCGCTCTGATTGGCCAGCTGACCCAGTGCATTATGATTGGCCGAACACCACAAGCACGCATCGGAAATGTAACGCCCCTTACCATAATCACGAGCGTCAGCTTTCAAAGTAAATATCAAGACAGTTAATAATGTCATTAGTTTTACCATCAGTTCAAGCCCGAAAGGACAACAGAGTCGCGTGACAGACACAGTGAGGAAGCTGGTATGTGTTTGCAGTACAAAATATTATAATTCTTTAAATAATTAAATAGATTTAAATATAATTTTATAAAAAAATATATATATATACATTATAATTATATTTTAATATATCATAGCCTATATGTAATTGTTTACAATTTGTAATACTTTTTTATATAATTAAATATAATTTAATAAAGCCAAGTAATTTTTTTAATGGTTTGTGTGGGATTAGATTAAATTAGAATTATAGTGTTATATGGCCCATACGGTAATCCAAGATTAACTCATAATCTACATAACATAGCGCTCATGTGCACATAACTGAATCTCCGTGCAGATTTCTCAAATATTTATGGGCTATTTTTGGAATGGAATATGTACGAATGTATTTCTCATACCATTTCTGCAGTATATATACTTTTCTATGCATAAAATACTAGGAAGACCTACTACACAATGCAGTGTGCCTGACTTGACCTCTCATTTCCAGTGGAATTGCAATTTAAATCTATTTCTTGACTCCTAATTTGATTGGACTGCCAAAATAACGACATTTTGACTAAAAATTTTATTAAAACTAAAACAAAAACTCTTTGATGCTGCCATTAGCTGCATTAAACATGCACTTAATGAAACCACAGTGTTGCATAATTCACTTTAAATTACTCCAAACTATTTTACATACTATTTTTAAACAACAGTAGCACATCATATGTGTTCGCAGGTGTCAGTCTCAGCAAGTCATTTCCTCCTCAAGCTCCGCCCTCTCTCTGTTCTTGTGTCTTTTGTCCCTCGTTTACCTCCGTAGGCGGAGAATATAATGGTTTTGGAACTGGACATGACTCCTCCTGTCGTGTTTCAACTGGACCTCCCAAAGTTTGGATCAGAGGTGGAATCGTCCCGAGATATTCTGTTGGACAACACCAGTTACAGAGAGAAATCAGCGGCTGGACGGGTCAGAAAATCTCAGTCATGGTCAGTGAAACTTAGAAGATACAATAATGCCACACCCACAGAACATCACCATGGCAACAGCCCAGGAATGAGATTTGGAACTACCATAATCCCACCCCCGTAAGGGATGAACAATAGTCAATCTTTCCTAAATAGACCAAGGAAGACGGGGGGAGATGAACCGTCCGTCATTATTAACCAAGACTGGAGCGAAGATGAAAACCTGTCCGCGATCTGATGAAGCAGGACAAACATTGAACGCAGGACTAGACCCACCAACTCATCAGGACCAATTAAACAATCAATACTATAAAAATGATTCGCCCTTTCTCTCTCTCTTGCTCTCTGCTCCTCAGGACAGTGAAGACACTTTGCTAACTGCCATCAACAGCACTGAATAGCTTTGCCTCACCTGACACCTGAGGCTAGGTTAAGCTAGTTATTTTCATTCATTTTACTGCTTCCAAAAACCGTCGGTCAACCTCAGTGTTTACGTACTGACCTGCACGGGTCCGATCCAGGAGTAGAGCCACACACACCTCGAATGATGGAAGCCAAAAAGACAGTGCTTTGTGATCGCTCACCCTGAGCTTTCAAGACGAGAGCTGAGAGGGACGTCTCTCTTTCTATCTGCATGTCTTACTTTACGTGTGTGTCTTTGTGATTCTGATCAGGGCTCTGGACGGGAGGCAGCTGATTGGCTGGAGGAAGGATCTACAGGGTTCCCACAGGCTCATGGAAAACCTGGAAATGTCAGGGAATTTGAAAATATAAATATACACACACACAATATAATATAAATAAATATAAACATGAAAACAGAATTGTAAAATAAATTGTATTGTAAAACAATGACAACAGCTGTCATAAAAATGTATAAAAAATTATGTATATATATATATATACACACACATTCAAACGGGGTCAGTACGTTTTTTTTTAATTTTCAGTGATTTTGAAATGCAAGGCTGCATTTATTTGATCAAAAATACAGTAAAAGCAGAACTATTTTGAAATATTATTACAATTTAAATGAACTGTTTTATATTTAAATATGTTTTAAAACTTCATTTATTGCTGTGATGCAAAGCAGAATTTTCAGCATCATTACTCCAGTCTTCAGTGTCACATGATCCTTCAGAAATCATTCTAATATGCTGATTTGCTGCTCACGTTTGAACAATGTAATGCAACCTTGCTGAATAAAAGTATTCATTTCTTTAACCTACAGGTTAAAAGGTGTGGGAACCCTGGCTCTAGAAGAACTTGTGCTCTAGAACAGTCTGTATAGAGAGATCAGAGCATGTACTGTATGAGCTGGGCTTTGCTTAGACTTTTAAACTGCTGCACTAACTTCAAGCAATGAGATGGCATCGACAAAAACAATCATTCACACACATATGCCTTGCCTACTTGATTTACTCAAAGCAGCAGCCATGATCTCCAGCCGAAAGCCCCTCACCTGTAATTGTGAACAGTTCAGTTATGTACAGGAGATCAGCGTGTTCACGTGTGTCAGACCTGTGTGTTATTGATTATGGAGCGGCTCTCACTGGATGGAATTAAAGGAGCAGTTCTCTGGCAAAAGATGATTGTGTTTGAGAAAGTTTCTCTCTTCGCAGTAACACTGCATCAGTGGGTCTGATTTAAAGGTCCATGCACACGAAGAACGATTAATAACTTATTAGCGTCCACACCAACACAGGATAACGTTCTGCTGATTATCAGCGCGCACTGTAGGCCTATCATTATTATAGAGTTGCTGTGGCGTGAACTTCCTGTTCACAAAGAATTGAACAGTTTCTACTTCATCATTATCGAATGCACAGATAGGCCTTTATTAACTTACCACTGAACCTTCTGTCTCGGTTGCACCGATCGACCATTGAAATGTAACATTTTAACCCAACTGGTTGCGTTGTTATAGAAATAACCCAATAAACGTTAAGAATAACCCAACAAGCGATCAACTATTGGGTAGGCCTACAGTAAACAACCCAACGTTTTTTAGAGTGTAGGAAAATATAATTAATTGTGTGATCCTGTTAGCTGAATTTTACATAAACAAAAATGTACTGGCTCTCTCTTTATTTAAAGTTGATTTAGACAAGTAGGCCTAGCCTAGGCTATATGGAAACGATTTAAAGTTCTCTTAACCCTAAAACAGTTAAAACCTATCTCTCTTCACCCTGATGTGAATTTATTACTTTTTTTTACACTTGTATCTGTGTATACTTTCTTTCTTTCTTCTTTCTGTGTTTTGTTTTTTATAGCTGTACTGCCTTAATGTTTTGATGTTTGTACTGTTTAAAAAAAATCAGAAAAAAAAAGATTGCGATATACACTCCGAAGGGGACATTCTAAAACGCTTAAAGTGAAAAACGCTTAACAGTGTTTTTAAAAGACCAAATCAGTAAACATTATTAATAAAGCATATTAATAATATTATTATTATTAATAAAGCATACAGACAAGATGAGCCCAGAATACGAACGCAACTTGTTTAATTAGCCTACGCGTTAAGTGTATCAACCATAGAAAACCGTAGAATACGAACGCAACGATCTGAATCAAATGATTCATGATACGCGCTCCGAAGTCCCGATCTGAATCAAATGATTCACAAGAATCGCGCCGAAGTTCCGATCTGAATCAAATGATTCGCGATACGGGATTTCCGATTTTAAAATCATTACAAGCGATGTCGAAATTCGAAAATTAATGGCTCTTTTGAACTGCTTTTTGCTAGTGAATAGCTTGAACTGAATGATCGAAGTCACGAGTTTGAGTTTGAATCAATCGGAGCGGTTCCAGCGTAAATGACTCGGTTTGTCTGTTCCTCCACTTTTCGTGCCTTCAGCCATGTTTACACGACACTTTAAGTACTGCTACTGGTTTAGCTCGCTAGTTTTATGAGATTAACTGAAATAAACGAAAAAAGTATGATGTTTACAAATAAAACATCCATATTTCCATTCCGAAGATAACTGCTTCCCATGTCTAAGACATCCAACACAAATCTACGAACCTATTCAGGTGAGCTAATTAGTGAAAACACTCCATTAATATGACGAGCTGCACCTCAAAATGCATGTTACATGGAAACATTGTGCATTATGATCGAGTTTGCATGTGGCTTAATTAACTATAGCTTTAAATAGTTTCCCCCTTACACCATTGAAGTGTATGCTAAATGTATCAGTATATATTGTAATAAATATTTAAGAAATTATTGCTGTATCTGATTGTTTTAGTCTATAGAGTGATATAGACTAAATGTAAATGTAAAAGGAAGATGTAAAAAGAGCAAATGGGAGAAGCACATGAACACAAAACAGGTGAAATGTGTTAAAAAGATTCATTCAGAAAGATTCCTTGACACATGATTCAGTTCTGTAGTCTGTTGTGTTCCAGTACTCATGAATCAGTGATCTTGTGTATGTCAGATGTACAGTGCTGTCTGTTCATTCTCGTTTATGAGTGTCTCTCCTCTTCTGCTCTTCAGTATCTGCTCATGGATTCTGCTGACATTGCTGAATAAGTTTGGTGATCGTATCCTGGAGGACGTGGCTCAGTTCTTACCTGGCTGAGATGATGGCCATCGATCCAGTCCACAGGTATCTGTACTAACACTGATCAGTTCACCTAAACATGGAAATCATGACAGAATGAAAGATTCCTTTAATGTCATCAGGCGGTGGTTTTATTCAGAAAGTTCTCTATAAGGACTTGTTTATTAAAGTGTCAATGGGAAAAATTCTAGATTTTTTTTTAAAAGTACAATATTTTGGTATGTAAAATGTATTCCATTAGTGGGTGTAGAAAAGAATCACCCCCCACCTTTAAAATAATCACATTTTGTTGCTTTGATGCCTATTTTTGTTTTATTTTATCCTCTGACATTCTTCTTTACAAATCCTCGTTTTGTACTTCTAATTAGTGACCGTTGTTTTGTTTTGATCTCCCCGCTGCGTTTCCGCGTTCATCACTTCTGAGTGGTGCATGTGCAAAGCTGACCTCATATGTCATTCCCCTGGAACTGCTTCTGTTTACAACAGTGAGCGCAAGCTAGATTCAAGTGATTATTACGTTTTGAATATGGATATTTTTCTTACAAAAACGCATCGATTCGCTACAGAAGGCCTTTGTTCACCCCCCGGAGCCGTGTGAGACACTTTTTTTTATGGATGGGTGATTTTTATTTCACTTATTTTGGACTGAAGCAATGCGACACCTGCTGACTGCAATGATAGAGCTTGGAATAGCCAGGACAATTTTTTATATAACTCCGACTGGATTCATCTGAAAGAAGAAAGTCATATACACCTAGGATGCCTCGGGGGTGAGTAAAACGCAGCCTAATTTTCATTTTTGGGTGAACTAACCCTTTATCTAGCATCCAAGTGAAATATATAACAGTGACAGAAAAGTTTTTTATTATTAACAGTGTTGAAAACAGTTGTGCTGCTTCATATTTCTGAGGAAACTGTGATATGTTTTTCAGAATAATGAATAGAAAGTACAAAATAGAAATAGAAATCTTTTGTAAAATTATACATGTCTTTACTGCCACTTTTTTCTGAATAAAGTAACTTCTTGCCCAAAAAAAAAAAAGTACTGACAGCAAACTTTTGAACGGTAGCATAAGTGATTTTGGCTCAAGCGTTTTAAATGTCACATCGGTTGTCAGATGGAGTCATTGAGGGCACGGGTAAGACAATCTCTCTCTCTCTCAGTCTGATGGAGGTTTACAGTATAGGGCTGAATAATTAACGCACATGCCCACGCGGCGCCTTCCGTTACGGTTAACCGGGGGAGGCTGGAGGTCGTGTGTGGTGTGCCGGTGTCGTGTTCTGTTTAACCTACATGCAAGTCATTTCCCTTTCATCAGTGTCACTTCAGCGACTAAAGGACCGCTCACTAAACACTTGTGCGGGTTGGTTTCATGATTGACGGGCCTCTGTAGAAAGGAGTTCACTCACCTGGACTGAACATACACCAGAAACGCTCGATTTCACATTTCAAGCCCTGTTCAGGTGAGTGCAGGGCCGTCCGGTGCAACTGGTGCGGTCGCACCGGGCCCCGCATTTTGTAGCGACCGGACAGATGGGGACAAAAATAATAAATAGAAAGTTCAAAATAGAAATCAGGCCCCATGTCAGCTAAGGACGGCCCTGGGTGAGTGATATTGTGTTCATTGTATACCATAATAAAATAAAGTAATACAAATAACAGAGTTTTATTTAACTCAGTTGTTAAATAAACAGACGGAGACAGAGAGAGACTGGAAATCCTTGAGGATCAGGGAATGAAGTCCTCACTGGGAATGGGCCAGAAATCCATCTGTTTCCATGACAACCTCTTTTTTGGTCATTGGACATTTTCTATATGCACCAATACTCCTCTCTCTCTCTCTCACACACACACACACACACATATATTACTGTGTATTCTAAAATAAAGATATTTATAGTTAAAAAATAATCTTGTTAAGACGTTTTATTGGCATTTTAATTCGAAATGGCGCTTAATATTATCATTATAGTAATAATGGGCTAACAGGGTGGTGTGTTTTTGAAAGCAGCGGGCAATTAATTTGGCGCTAATTTATGTTTACTGTAAATCACCGCGCCTCCTGCTGGATAAAACACCGACTGATGTTCATGAAGAGATTCTCACCTGTTTTTGGTTTTAGACACAGATTTATATCTGTAACAGAGAAATATATACAGTATATATATTATGTAAGTATGTGTGTGTTGCATCATCACAAAGCGCTGACGCCGCTTCTGACCGCTAGATGGCAGCAACAACATTGAAAATTACGTGACTGACCTTCACTGAACACTTTCCAACATAAAAACGAGGAATTTATTAATACTGTTTATTAATTTAGTTTATATATCTTGTTGAAAATAAACTCTTAAACAAGCCTCAACTGGTTTGCTGGTGTAATGTGGCCTACCTGGTGTTTAGCTGGTCATTAAAGTGGTCCTCCAACCTGACCAGATCAAATGTGCCCCAAAACCCTCTAAAACCAGGCTGTGAGACCAGCTAATACCAGCAAACTCTCTTAGGCTTTTTCTTTTCCTTTTTTCCACCTTTATTTGATGTCACACAAGAATAATTTGTTCAGTTTCGACATAAATACAATAAAGAACATATTCCTTAAACTACACGTTTATCAACAACACAAAGGCCCTTACAGTGTTTATTTATTACCTGTTTTTTGTTTAAAAATAATAAATAAAAACAAAATTATTATTTTATTGCAATA